ACTCAAAAACAAACAAACTCTTAGGATGTATTATTGAACAAATTAACTTTTTTTAATTCGTGGGGAAAGGCCCACCGAGATAAAATCAAAACGGAAACAAATGGTATTTCCTTATTCTTTAATGAGACTCAAGTAGCAGACCTCAAACTTAAAGTTCTAAATAAGAGAATAATGAAAAGAAAAATTAAGATCAATTATCATGCCCGGAAAAGCTATCTTATTAAGTTTGTTAATTCTTCCGAAAGATTAACTATTTGAATAGAAGCATATTTGTGAAATAAATTACAATCATATTAATAATGTATTTATTAATCTAAAATATTTAAAGTAGCGAATTAGCGCATTCAGATGAAGCATGTGAAAAACTTCTTGAGACAATTGTAGAAAATCAAAAGTTTTCTGTTGTTGTTAAGCACAAAGCTACATCATGGTTTATCTGTGATCTGCTCACCACATGTATCGAAACCCAGTTTCTAGCGTTGTAAGTCCGCAGACATACCACTGTGGCGCCTTGACAACAATGAAGCAAACCAATCTTCTTTTTGAAAAGAACTGAATGAGGAATGTAATGTTATAAAATATAATAGGTTTGATACTAATGTTTCATCATAATCAACTTTAAAATTAAGTATATTTTCAATAATATTTAGTGTTTGGTTGCAGTTAAGCACAAAGCTACACAGAGGGCTATCTGTGATCTGCCCACCACGGGTATCGAAACCCAGTTTCTAGTGTTGTAAGTCCGCAGCCATACCGTTGTGCCACTTGGGGGTCGAAAGTTTTCTATCTTTGTGTTACTCAGTCGTTTAACGTGGCTGGATAAGTAAACCTAATTCAAACATATTTAAAATCCTTTTAGCAGAAGATTGGTTCTTTCTAATGTATTAACAACGACAAAGGCCATGTACTGATTTATTTGTGCACCAACACTTATTTTTCTGTAGGAGTATTGCAGACTGGCAAGCGGTTTGGCATGAGGAGCGCTATCGCAGTTGTAACAAGGATCTTCTGTTGCACATGCAATGGGTGTGTAACACAGACATCTACAAGATGGGTAAGAAAACCTGTTACATCCTGAACTTTATTCTAGCTTACGATGTTCAAACATTTATGTTACATCATACACGAGACTTCGTGGCTACATCATGTTTATCTATTTTTTATTCATACATGGAACTTCGTGGTTACATCATGTTGATTTATTTTTTACTCATAGATGAGACTTCGTGGTTACATCATATTAATTTATTTTTTACTCATAGATGGGACTTCGTGATTACATCATGTTTATTTATTTTTTTTACTCATACATGGGACTTCTTGGTTACTTTATTTGTTTGTTTATTTTTTACTCATACATGGGACTTCGTGGTTACATCATGTTAATTTATTTTTTACTCATACATGGAACTTCGTGGTTACATCATGTTTTATTTTTTATTTTTACTCATACATGGGACTTCGTGGTTACATCATGTTAATTTATTTTTTACTCATACATGGAACTTCGTGTTTTATTTTTCATTTTTACTCATACATGGGACTTCGTAGTTACATCATGTTTTATTTTTTATTTTTACTCATACATTGAATTTCATGGTTTCAGTTGTATAGATATCGATATTTTTTAGTAAAAAATAACGATTACTCTTAATGATTTTCAAAATTATATGTAAAAAGAAGTATAATTTTTGAGATTATTTTAGGTGTAGTAAAATATGCACAATGAGATCGCTGTATGCAAAATTAATAATATACTGAATAAAATGAAGAAGTACTAAATGTGGTAGCTTTTTGAGAAACTTTTTATGCTAAAGTGTGTGTGGAAATTATATGTTAAAATTTCTGTTTATTGAATTTACTTTTAGTACTTGGAGAGAATATTTCCACAGTTCTTAGTATGTATTTTGGTTAACCTGGCAAACGGTAATAGAGCATAAATTTTATGACGTTCTTCGCGAAACTGTGAAGCTGGAACTGATATTTAATAATTCCTGAAATATCACATTTCTTTGGCTGGGAATATTTGTAACAGCTATATGTCTATGAGAATTAAAAAAAAACTCTAATAGCGTTCACGTCCATCTAATATTGAATTAATTCAGCAACAATGGGGCTAAAAGAGCTGAACAATTCCATTGCACAACCTGTGGGAGTGGGGATTAAAGCTCGGTGTGTCGGGTGGGCGAAGTAGATGTGAAGTTGATAAAATTAGTTGACAAAAATTTTTTATAAATATTCAGAAATAATTAATGGGTTAAAATCGCAAATCTTCAAAATGTTCCTAGTTGCAATTTTGAAAATTAGACATAAAAAATATGTTCGTTATTTAGAATATAAATATTGTAAAGTAGAAATCTTAAATAATATTCAACGTTAAACTGGTACACAATTAATAACATTTTATTTAGG